GCACAGCTGCGCTCCCAGCACCGCACTCTCCCGAGTGAGCCACGGGGTCAGCCCTGGAACTGAAATCTTAAAAAAAAAATAAATAAATAATAATAATAATAATTTCAGTATGGACTGTAAACCACATAACATTGCTATCTGTTAAATTTGATATGATAAAATTATTATAGGTAAGAAATAAAACGCCCTTGTTCTTGGGAGATATATACTGAAGCACAGGTTGGCTGCAACTTACTTTCAGAAGGTTCAATAATAAAAAAAGATGTATATATAAATAGAGAAAAAGCACATATAACAAGAGGTTAACAATTAGTGATTTCAGGCAAAAGGTATATCAATGTTTGTTACACATCCTTTCAAGTTTTCTGTAGCTTTGAAATTTTCAGAATAAAAAATGAGAGAGGAAAATTGCCTGGCTTGTTTTCAAGATACCTATTCACAACCAATATTAAGCAAATTGAATTCCTCCATCAAGCTTGCAAGCCACCTAACCCATCAATACAGTATTCTTTCCCTTTCTCCCCAACACTACCAGACACTTTCTCAACTCTTCCTCCTCTCTCCTTCCTCATAACCTAGTAACAGTGAGAGTAATAGAACGAGTACAGTTTTGGCATGTGAAATTGGCTTTCTCTTGGTGACCTAGCAAGTTGTTTTGTTTTGTTTTTTAACTACAAACCCATCTCTCCATACCAGTGGAATGCGAAAAAATGTGATATTCTTTGAAAGTCTCTGTTTATAAAACTATTTCCAAACTCAAGGCTTGACTCAGTGTCTTGAGCCTGCACAAGCAAAATCTATCATAGCGATATACTATGGAAGGCAGTGTTTTGCAACGTAAGAACTAACATTATTAAGATGACATTAGGTTTGAATATTGGCTCAGTTACTTACTGTATGTGTATCTTTGGAAAATTCATGTATCTTTTTTGAATTTCTTTGACCTGTAAAATGGAAATTACAATAACCTCTTTTTTAATAATATGTAAATGATGGATAATCTTTGCCCATTGTTCTTGGCCAGAGGAGCTTTCTATATTAGATTTATTGGAATCTGTATTTAAACAAGGTCCACACATTGCAATTGCTTATTAGCTCTTTTAAATTGTTTTCAATCTAGAATAATGTCCCTTGCCTACACCTTTGCCTTGCAGACAGACTATCCCAAGGTTTGGATTTGCCTATTGCTTCTTGGTGTAGTTGAAATTGTCCCTCAAGCCTTCAGTTTTTAAATTTATTAAATCTTCCCCCTCATTTAAATCTGTCAATAACTCCCGATAAGTCAGTACAAAATTATCCACCCTTTAGCTTACTATTCAGAGCCCTTCATTATTTTCATCTTCTGGCTATGATCTTCTATAGTATTTAGCTTTTTTTTCCTTTTTCTTAACAGGGGTCATACTCTCCTCCCTCTACACAAACCATTCACTACCTTTAATTATCCTTCCTCATTTCTTTCCTTGGACTAAGTTTTGCTCCTTTGGAGGCTCAGCCCAAGAGAAATGATCTCTCTAGATGGTTTATTATGTGTCAGGCACTATGATAAGGATCTTTCAGACAGTCACAGATTCAATTAAACTATGAGAACAAATTTATAAGTTAGGAGCTATTGTCCTCACTTAAAACTGTGAGAGCTGTAAAAGCTGAGTCTACACGAATTTGAACACACTTATCCAAGATTACATTAACTGGTATAACCACTGGCATGATGCTCAATAACTGAGCTGTACTGTCCCTTCATACTCTCACAGCATCCTATGCATNATTTCAGGGTGCTCTATTCTATTCCATTGATCAGAGTCTCTGTTTTTATACCAGTACCAAGAACTGCATCCTTTTTTGATCCACCTAAAGTATCCACCCTGCTAGCCAGACCTGGAAAAGCTTCAGGCACCAGCAGAGCTGTGGGAGCAAGGGTGAGCAAGGCCCCACTGTGCCCAGAATGCAGGATTTGGGAGTCAAAGAAGATTATTTCAAAGCTTTAAGACTTAATGTCTGCCCTGCTGGGTTTCAGACTTGTTTGGGGCCCGTTCATCCGTTCTTTTGGTCTATTCCACCTTTTTAGAATGGGAACGTACACCCAATGTCTGTTCCACCATTGTACCTAGGACATAGATAAATTTGTTTTTGATTTTTACAGGTTCACAGCTATAAGGGCTTTTGCTTTTGGTCTGAGATGAGAATTTGGACTTTGGACTTTTAAGTTGCTGCTGGAACAAGCCTTCAGGGACTTTTGGGATGGAATGATTATATCTCATATGTGACAGGCACAAGAGTTTATCTCATATCTGAGGCACAAGAGTTTGGGGGGGGGGCCAGAGGTGGAATGATAGAGTTTGGATGTGTCATCCCCCTGAAAAACTCATGTGGAAATCTGATCTCCAATGTGGCAGTGTTGAGAGCTGTTTGAGTCACGGGGGTGGATCCCTCATGAGTGGATTAATGTTCTCCCTGGGGGAGGAGGGCCTGAGTGAGATCTCACTCTATGAGTTCCCACAAGAGTTGGTTGTTTAAAAGGCCCTAATGAGTTCCCACAAGAGCTGGTTGTTTAAAAGGCCCTGGCACCTCCCCCTTCTCTCTCTTGCTTCCTCTCGCCATGTGATCTGCTTGTACCCACTGGCTGCCGGCCGCTTTCGCCATGAGTAGGAGAAGCCTGAGGCCTTTCATCAATAAATTCAGCTCAATCCAATTTTATGTTCTTTCCACCATTATCCCACACCCTTAATATCCATTCCCATATATATTCTCCTGGTTTCTGTTTGTATGAAGTAGAAAATTCATTTACATCTTTTGGAGTGTAATGCTCCTCCTCACGGGTCACACTTCATACCTTACCTTTAGGGGCCTGCTGGGCCTTGAGTCTAGTTATAGATCTAGATCAAAGATGGCTGCTGGGGGTGGGTCCTGAGGAGAATCAGCATTGTCTTACTCAGTATCTGCCTCAGTGGAAGCCATTACTGTTTCCTTAGGCAATGCAGAGTTAATCCCCTCAGGCAGAGGTGGAAAAGCCGCCATCTCTGGGTATGAGGGTCGGAGTTCATTTCTGGTGAACAAGCTTGCAGGATACCATTGAACTGAAAATTAAGGCTGCCACCTGGCCACTTTGGGCTTCTCATGCCTATGAGTCAACAGGCTAAGAAAGGAGTTCCAGTGTTGGCTGGGTGATTGACCTAGACTACCAAGGGGAAGTTGGACTACTACTTCACAGTGGAGGAAAGGAAGAGTATATCTGGAATACAGGAGATCCCTTAGGATGTCTCTTACAACTACCATGCCCTGTGAGTAAGGTCAACGGAAAGTTACAACAACCAAATCCAGGCAAGTCTACAAATGGCCTGGACTCTTCAGGGATGAAGGTTTGGGTCACTCCACCAGGTAAAGAACCATGATCAGATGAAGTGCTCGCTGAAGGTAAAAGGAATACAGAATGGGCAGTAGAGGAAGGTAGTTATAAAATCAGCTTTGGCCATGTGACCAGTTATAGAAACTATCTACATTTCTTAAGTAACACATGTTTCAAGTATTTTATTTTAGAATTTCTAAAGCAGTTTGCAATTGGACCCCATAATTTATCTATAAAATAGGTACAATAACCACATTTTTTTAGAAGCTGCTGAAACTGAGATAAAAATTATTCTCATTATCTATAGGAAAAACTGAAAAAAATACAGGATTGTCAAGGCTAGATTCACTGGTTATGTCCACTAACTGAAAGAAAAAGAAAGTTTTCCAATAGTTCCTCATTCAGAATCTGTTAATGTAAAGATTTTTTTTTTTTTTTTCCTTTTTTTGTCATTTTTCATGTCTGGCAACGGATCGCAACCCTCAGTGTCGCGCCCGTACCAGACCGGGACCGGCAACGGGATCGCAACCCTCGGTGTTGCCCCCGCACCTCGCTCAGCCAGTGAGCAGGAACCGGTCTGTATGTGGGATCCGAACCCTCGGCAGGAGCGCCGCCGCGCTTCCCAAGTGGTGCACTGTAGCAGTGCGCCACCGGGCCGGCCCTAATGTAAAGATTTTAAGAGGTTTTGAGTCATTTCCAGTATTGAAATAAGGCCAAA